CTGGCCCAACTCCGGGATTGCTGGCACATGAAGGGTAGGACTCACCACTCGTCATCTCCTCAGCACCCTTTAGCCTATGCCTGTGCTGGTGCCTTGTGCCAAAACTCTTGTCCCTGTCCTGCTACTGTGGAAAGCTGACTGGATGTGGAGCGGCTGCCTGTGACCAGTTTGCCAGCCTCAAGTCATCTGAATGTGGCACAGCTTGGCTGCCTCACATGGCCACTCCAACCCCAGAAGCTGAGAAGGTCTAGGGAAAACCAGCTCTACCTCCAGTCTTAGGCAGGGGTGACAGGTAAAACGAATGCCTGTGCAAGGTAAGTTGGGATGGCAAAGACCTGAGCATGCAGAGAGGCCAGTGTGGCACTGGGGGGGCAGCTCAGGACTGGGAGCAGACCATTATGACCAGCAGCTACACCACTGCAACACTGGAGCATGGATGCAGTGGAGCTTACACTGGTGTGACATTGCTCCTGATGCGGTGCAGCCCAGCTGCAGTCCCACTCCAGGTACCGCTGGAGCCAAGAGGTGTAGGCACCAGCTCCCACTGCCCCATGCAGCTTTGACAATGCTGGCACGCATCTTCAGGCTGCTTCTGTCCCCTCCTCCCCACGGTCTTTCTTCATGGCAAGCTCTCAGCCCATCCGTCTCCAAAGCAGGACTTTTTGTCCCATGCACTGATTCCTTTTTTCCCAGCCTGACCCCTTCTCCGGCAACAGCTCAAGTAGCAAGAGAGCAAAAGCTGGGTCTTGCAGGCCAGCAGCAAACTTGCTTCTATCATCCCTGCAACGTTACCATCGGCTTGAGTTGCTTCAAAATTTAGGCTCTGCTGACCTCTAGGGGAATGCTACAAACCCAAAAGCATAAAAGGCTTCAAAGCTCATGGCATGCTACAGCCCTTCGCACGCTCTTAAGGAGCCCTGTGGTGGATATGACATAGTTGACACCCACTGCTGGGCCCTTTAGCACTACTAGAGGCTGTAAATAAAAACCTGGCTCCAACACTGCCTCTTCCATCACACTGTTACAGAAGCAATACCTTAAGAAACATGTACAAGCAAGGTGAGGTTGTTGTGGAGAGGTATTACCTGCTATCAGACTGCCCCATATAACCGCTGCTTTTATTTCAGCGTGGAGAAGTACTTGGGAGCTTGTGGCTTTCACCCTCTTCTGTATCAGTTTGTCTAACAGAAGGTATAAAAGGCTTGCCTTGGTGTCACAACTACAGCACTACTCGGTGAAAAGCACGGATGCGTACACCTAGGCATTGGAAATGAAGTTAAAGGTGCTTTTTCACGGCATTTCATCACTCCCTAAACAAGTGGTGGAAGCAAGAATGTTGTCACAGAGAAGAAGGAACACAGACTTGTAGGAAGAAAGTGTAAAATCTGATGTGCTCCTTAAAACAGCACATGGAGCTGCTGAGGGGGGTAACTCTGCACTCCCAGCTGACTCAGCTTGAGGACAGCCGTGGTGGGAGGCAAAGCATTAGGCCTACAGAGGCAACACAAGCTGCATACCTCTAATGGATCTGTTCTCCTCGATGCAAAGCCAAAACCTACCATAGCCCTGGAATATCTGCATTTCTTGACTTGGGGAAGATGAGACATAACTCGGGAGAGCTGGAGCGTGGACAGACCCGGCCTGGGGGAAAAGCTACGTGCACGGCAGAGTGCCCCCAGTTGCAGCCACCACCTCGCATGGGAGCTCCCCACCACAGCAAGGCAGCTTGCTGTCCCTGGGCTGAGGTCTGTACGAGCAGGGAGCTGCTATCTAAACTGTTTAAGTTCACTCGACCTGCTGATGCAGGAAGAAGTCCATCCAGCAGACTTAAGCAGGCAGCGGGCCCCAAGGAGCCGCACACATGCTGGGACCGTCAACTCTTCCACAAGAGCGGCTGTATCTGCAGCCAGAGCCTAACAGTCACAGTAGCTTCCATCATATGCAAAGGTCTCTCAAGAGGTTGTGGGGGTTGTGTTGCCGGGACCGTGCACCAACAGGAGGGTGTCAGTCCTGGCAGGCACTCCACCAGCCACAGGAACGCCTTTACAGACAACGTTGAGGGCTCTGGACACGCCACAGGGCACGTAATTGGCATGGTCCTACTCAGCACTTGTGCCCTGGGAAGTGCCAAAAATACAAGGCAAGTGCCAAGCTAAAGCACTTGCTCTTCCATGGGCTGGAAGATCTTCAACCCACAGAGAGAGGCTCATGACAAAAGGTAACGACCAACAGCATTCCTTCAACTACATCAGGGTGAGAAGATGTCAAAACAGCAATTAAAAGTGCAGTGTTTAAAGAAAAGAGACAAATCAGTTGAACAGAACCACTGATTTTCATTTCAGCATCATTACATGTCTCTTAATTAGAACAGATGTCTCCCTGATCTGTACAAACCAGAACAGGACCTGGGAGGTCTGAAATACTGGCTCATCCACAAATATTACCACCAATTCCCATCTTCTGACAGCAAATCAAACCATCCGGTGGTTCAGGGTCCTGTCCTGCAAAGCAGGGTTTACTCTGCAGTGCCCAAAGCTCAGATGAAATAATTTCTCCTCCTTATACCTGCAAACACCGTGTTGATGGCACCATGCACCGACAGTGCCCAGGAAATGCGAGCCTCTCATTCCTTTTGCCGCACGCATTGTAGCTATGCTTTAGCCCCTCAAAATCCCTGTTTAGTTGATGTTGCTCACAGAGAAAAGACTCCATCAGTCCTCACAGTTTGGTAAGCTCTTTAATGGCAAGCTCACGGTGTAACGACGCTGCTGGATTTGATGCCTCGGTGGTGGGAGAGGAAGGAGGATCAGAAGAAAGGCAGGGCTCCACTGAAGGTTTACACCTTTCAAAGAGTTGAACAAAAGGGAAACAACTTTTGGCAACCCATTTTGCAGCTTTGTAGTCCCAAAGACAGAAAGATCTGCAGGAGCAGCCACCAAAAAAGGCCCAGGATCAAAGGGAACCAGTATCCCCCAGTCATCAGGATGAAGGAAGGGCCTCGATGGAGAGCAGTGAATGGAAAGTGGTCTGTAGTCGGGGCAGGAGGAGAACCCTTTCTGCACCCACCGCTTCTCCCCAGGTGCCTCTGAGTAACAGGTATGAGGCTCTAGAGGTGGAAGAGAAGGCAGTGGATGGGGTAGGTGTTGACCTATCCACATCACGGGAGGCACAAAGATCAGAAAAACCCCCCCGTCGCATCACTACTGCATCCACAAGGAAGAAGAGGAGGGTGATAGTAATAGGAGATTCCCATTTGAGGGGAACAGAAGGACCGATATGCCGGGCGGACCCTGCTCATAGGGAGGTCTGCTGCCTCCCAGGAGCCCAGATTAGAGATGTCACTAGGAAGCTTCCTAACCTGGTCCGACCCTCGGACTACTATCCCTTACTGCTCTTCCACGTGGGTGCAGATGAAGTTGCAGTAAGTAGCCCGAGGGTGATGAAAAAAGAATTCAAAGCCTTGGGGCGGTTAGTGAAGGGATCTGGAGCGCAGGTCATCTTCTCCTCGCTCCTTCCAGTTGTGGGAAGAGACACTGGGCAGTACAGGAGAACTCAGTCTATTAACACGTGGCTTCGCGACTGGTGTCGCCGCCACAACTTTGGGTTCGTTGACCACGGGATGGTCTACACGGCACCGGGAATGCTGGCATCAAATGGGAGCCAGCTTTCTCAAAGGGGGAAGAGGGTCTTTGCCCAGGAGCTTGCAGGGCTCATTGACAGGGCTTTAAACTAGATGTGAAGGGGGAAGGGGAACCTATCGGGCTTGCCAGCGACAGGCCAGGGGTTGATATGCAAGGGTTAGAGGGACTGGGGGCTAGTATGAGCTTGGCGGTGTCCCTGCTGACTGCAGGGGGGTTGGACTCGATGACCTCTAGTGGTCCCTTCCAACCCAAAACATTCTATGATTCTATGATTCTATGATCTTCCAGCCAGAAAAATGGTGGCAAGCACTCCACAGACAGTCTTTGCACGGTGTGGTGCAATATGATTTCTGCTTGACGTGTTGAGGTCTGACCGGTCCCTGCATCAGTAAAGGAAACCTTGACAACAACAAAAAAATTGCATTGACTGAAATCCAGAGCTGATGTTTCCACCACCACCCCTGAAGATGAAAGCAGACATCCTTTACATGCAGCGTTACTGCAGATCTTTGCCTACACGAGCAACAGCATGTTGGTACCGAAAGAGAATTTCAAAGTTCAATGTATTTGACATGAAACCAGTGAGCTTTACTGCAGTAAGCAGTAACTAGTTCAAAGAAGTTTGGTTTTTTTTCTGCAGACAAATGAACGCCCTTTTTGTTGAT